CTATCGCGCCTCGACATTGCTCATCCGACGCGGCGATGCCGCTCCAACTCACGACTCTTCATGAAGCTCGGCGTGGAGCAGTTGCCGTGACAGGGGGAAACCTTCGTTTTAGAGCTGCTTGCCACGGCCACCTCGGCCGACCATTTCAGTTGTTGGCTTCATGCAGCTAAGATGGCCAGAAGGTCAACACCGGCAGGGCTTCATTTTCAACAAGCTTCGCCTTGTTTCACGCATAGTGTCTGGCATGCTGTCGAAATCTGACGATACTGATGACTATTGCGGAGACCGCTGGATGTGGCAACAGGGCAAGAGCCAAGGTTGCGCACAACATGGCAGAACTCCCAAACCGAGCATGAGCTTCGCGCGGAACGGAGCGCTGAACACGCCAGGGGTTTCGGCAACTCATCGTAACAACTCCACACTGGCGAAACATTTAGAACGCCAGCATGCGAGATTTGCAGGTGGCCGCGAAGACATGCAAGCACTTGCTGACCGACAAAGTGTGAAAAATTCGGACAGCTGAGGCACAAAACGTCAACACAATACACCCACGGAGGGGCTGATAATCGTGAACACCCTTGTGCTACGCATTCATGAAGAGCGATAGAGGCACGGCCTTTTTTTGCCCGGCCAACTTTCTGACAAGTCAAAGGCTCGTGACTGCAGCACCAACACCCCTGACGCCCAATCGAATCTTGCAACTTGGCATACGTAACACAAACTCGAATGGCCCTACCCACTGGTACTACCCACCACCATGACGACAAGCATCCCAAAAACACCCAAACAGCTCTTGTATCCGATTGCGACATAACAGAGCCTCGATGGACCCAACGCTTCAGACGCATAACCCGAGAAACCCCACCGCAACGAAAACGGCAGAGAATGAGCAGATCCCAAAACTCCCTGTGTCATACTACCTCCACTGCACCCTTGAACTTGAACCTTCCCTGCACCATCAAAAGGCCTTGCCTGCCCTCAACCCCCTTTCAAACTCAATTCGAAACACTCTGTACGCGGCTTTGCTTAAGTTTCTATGTTCAAGCAACATCTGAAGCCAAAACCGATTGCAAACTGCGACCAGAATTGGCCTAGGTCTCATGCCTCTGCGTGGCAGGAGGAGGATACCTCAAACCCACCGGCTGTTGCAGTCCCATGCTGCCCATGTGTCTGACTATAATTCTTCTGGACGGCTCCACGTAGCAAGTTACGCGTGCCGCGTGGGGAGGATACCTCAAACCCGCCGGCAGTTGCAACCGCATGTCGCCCATGCGCCTGACATCTGATCTTGCTGGGACGGCTCCACGTAGCAAGTTGCGCCATGCGTACCGTGGGGAGCCCTCAAACCCACCGGCTGTTGCAACCGCATGTTGCCTATGTGCCTGACTGTAATTCTTCTGATCTTTCTGGGACGGCTCCACATAGCAAGTTGCGCCATGCGTACCGTGGGGAGGATACCTCAAACCCACCGGCAGTTGCAACCGCATGTCGCCCATGCGCCTGACGGTAATTCTTCTGATCTTTCTGGGACAGCTCCACGTAGCAAGTTGCGCCATGCGTACCGTGGGGAGGAGCCCTCAAACCCACCGGCTGTTGCAAACGCATGTTGCCCATGAGCCTGACTGTCATTCTTCTGATCTTCCTGGGATGGCTCCACGTAGCAAGTTGCGCCATGCGTACCGTGGGGAGGAGCCCTCGAACCCACCGGCTGTTGCAACCGCATGTTGTCCATGTGCCTGCCTGTAATTCTTCTGATCTTTCTGGGACGGCTCCACATAGCAAGTTGCGCCATGCGTACCGTGGGGAGGATACCTCAAACCCACCGACTGATTTCGTCCCATGTTGCCCATCTGCTTGGTCTAACTGGGACGGCTCGCGGGGAGGATACCTCAAGCCCACCGACTGTTGCAGCCACGTACGGCACCCCTGGCTGTACAACTCAAAACCTGCCCTTTCTGGGACGGCTGCACAATTGCGCCTTGCGTGTTCTGCGCTCACCTGGTTCGCCATGAGGTCCAGGTGTACCCGTCAAAAGCCATCTTTTGCATGTATGTATACATATATGTATACGCATGGGCTGGGACGACCTGCGGCACATCCAGCAGTGTCAGGAACTCAGACAGCCATGTCGCCTTGCCACTTCGTTCAGACCGTAGACACGAGAAAACCTAAAGCCGCAAACCCTTCGTGCAGGTCGCTGGTCAGGGGTGATGGACTCTACTTTAACAGGAGCTCACAGCTTCGCAGGCTTGGGGCTTTCAAGCCTTTTCCCGAACTTCTCAGTGGCTTTGAGGGGGGCTTGGGGGGCTTGAGGAGGCCCCTAAGGCCCCCCGAAAGCCTACGAAGCTGCAGCTCTGGTGGCACGAAGCTCTGGTGGCACGGCTCGGGCTTAGGGCCTAAGAATCAGGGCTTTGCTTTTTTGGGTTTCAGGTTTTCAAGGTGGCTTTCTTGCAAGTTCTTTGTAGGAGAAGTTGTCAATTACGGTCAGTAGTTCCCCAAACCTAAGTACGAACACTGGTAAGTTTTCGGGGTTTGCCGACGCCAACTCTGAAATCCCGAAAGTCCCATTCCTGGGAGTGTTCCCCCCCCCATTGGCTGCCGGCACGGGATTGGCTGCCTTCTGCCCCAGTCATGCAGTTTGGGGCTTTGGGGGCTTTCGGGTTTTACAAGGGCTTTCGGGTTCTGGGGCTGCAGGGCTCAAGGTTTTCGGGCCGTAGGGTCTTACAGGGGATTAGGGCTTTCCGTGTTTTTGCAGGGCGTTTGGGCTTGAGGGCTTTAGGGTCTCTAGGGAAACTCAAGCCTCAGGCTTGGTAGGACTTCGGGGCTCCGGCGTTCAGGCCTCGAACGGCTCCCTGAAGGGAAGCGACGACGGCGCGACGACGGCGCGACGACGACGCGACGACGGCGCGACGACGGCGCGACAGCCGTCGTCCCCCGTCGTCACCCCGTCGTCGCGCCATCGCACCCTGTCGTCGCGCCGTCGTCACCCCGTCGTCGCGCCGTCGTCACCCCGTCGTCGCGCCGTCGTCACCCCGTCGTCGCGCAGTCGTCACCCCATCGTCGCCCCGTCAAAGCCCTGACGTCTAGACCCCTCTAGCTGGACCAGAAACCATACCCCACATATATCTAGAACTAAGATAAGGTTTAGGGTTTAGGGTTTAGGGTTTAGGGTTTAGGGTTTAGGGCTTGAAGGCCCTTCATCTGCTAAGGGCACCAAACATGGGCCGCCCACAAGAAGGCCCGAAGCCCGCATATGGCCAGCCGTCCTCTTGCGGCAAACATTATCGTGCAAGGACCAAAGGTCGGGGTCTTTGTCTTTAGGGTCATTTTAGGGTTCAGTGCTTTAGGGCTTTTAGGGCATTTAGGGCATCCAAGATCTTTTTCAGGGCTTTAGGGCTTCACATCGCACACACAAGGTGAGGGCTTCAGCCTTTCGTTGTCTTTCATTGCGTGGTCCCCCCTTGGTCCTCGGTTGAAAAGCCTTCATGGAAACAGTGGGAGCCAGTGGGAAAAAATCTGCTTTGAGATCCCCCGTCCTCCCAGCCTTTGGATGCGGCTTGGGGAGCCCTCCCTTTTCGGAGGTTCTGGAAACTGCCCTCCGCCTCACCCCAACGTAGACATCGATGAAACACGAGCTTGCCCCTGGTGCGGGCACGCAGAACTTAGACCTCAACCCTAAACACTTCCTGCCTGGGTCTAAGCAAAGAGCTGCAGTTGAAGGGAATCTATCTGGGGGGGTGGGGGTCCGAGGGGTTGGGGTTCAGTTCTAAGATGGGTCCCTCAGGGCTTAGGACCCTAGGTTTAGGACGAAAAACCCTCAACCAGTAGGGTTTGGGATTTTTTGGTCGTGCTCCTTGCATGGTTCATGGGTAGTTGTGACGGGGGGTATAAGTATGGTAGCTAGACACTTCCCTAACCCTGCCAGCATGCCTCCAAGCATGCCTACACTCACCAGAACCCTAAACCCTAAACCCTAAACCCTAAACCCTAAACCCTAAACCCTAAACACCCCCCCACCCTGAACCCGACAGACACAAGGCCCACAGAATATCCTGGGCCCCGGTCGGCCCGAAACGATCCACCCTGCATCCCCAAAGCCCTAAGCTCCGGCTTTAGAATTAAAAAAATCTCTCTCTCCACCGGGACCTGATTTTCTGTGGTGATCTTCAACCCCCCAGATGCCCAAGACTCGGATCTCAGTCTCATGATAATCGCAGTGGCTTTTCGGGACCTTTAATTGTGGGGCCGGTTCCTCTAAATCCAGGCAGACCCTATCCCCTGTAGGACTGGAAGGGCCTGCAGCGTTCGAACAACTCCTTGAGAGAGGCACGCAACATCCTCAATTTTCGGTGCTGCGCGTGGGGGCTGACATGTTGACATCTTTTGGCATTTAAAGGATTTCGGGAGTCGCCAGCAGCTAGAACCACGTTCAATCGGCGTGCTGTCCCAGCTTCCCAGCAGGGTCTATTCAGGAGCACTTTGACACAGCTGGCCCTGAGTTCTGTGGCGCAACTCACACGGGCCACAATCCTTGGCATCCCCTCATCTCACTGAAGCCACGTCTGCCTTTTGACCCCTGACCCTTTGCGGATCCATGAAGCCCAAAGCAACCGGAACCTGAAGTGAGGGACATTTAGGGTTCGAGGTTTACGGCAACCCTCGGATGAATGCTCAAATCCACCGAGCATCGAGCTAGTGCAAGTCGTGCCCTGCCCCATCGAGGTGATGCCACGGCGCACGGCCGTCCAGAGGGCTCAGGTGCTGAGATCTGTGAACTAACAATGAGACCTTTGGGGTTAGGCTAGCAGAGCTTGTGCTGCCTATAGACTTCTTTACCTGTCTTCTTGGCACTTCATAAGTATCCTAAAAGACCTTTCCTTGGAGTGTCATAGGGCTTGTTGAAGCCTCTGGCGTCTTGGGGTTCCCTAGGCTCCTAGACCCTCAACCCTTACACCCTTGAAGCCCTAAACCCTAAACCCGAAACCCTAAACCCTAAACCACTACAGTCCCACCACCGGCCGCTGCATCCGCATTGGGACGGTGCCGCCACCAGCGCCAGCAACACTGAAGAGCCAGGGCTTGGAGGGGCTCTTCCTTGGCTGCTTGTTGAGGGTTTAGGGTTTCGGGTTTAGGGTTTAGGGTTTAGGGTTTAGGGTTTAGGGTTTAGGGTTCCAAAGGGGGCTCCCAAGCTCGAAGCCCTTCCGGTGTTGGGGCTCAGGGGGCCCGTGGCGAACCTGAACGTTGGGTTTTGGATGTGAGGTCGAGGCACCTCTTGCTTCGGTGCGTAGACCTTTCGGGAGCTGGGTTCAGTGCTTGGATGTTTTTTTGGAGTTTCGGGGTCTTCAGAGCTTGTTATTGGCGGCTTTGGTTCTCTCAAGGAGCGACCCCTGGGCGGCATGAAAGATTTCAAACGTATATAAACTGAAAGGCGTCGTCTGATTGCATTTAGGCGACGAAACATCCGGGGCTTCAAGCCCCCAAAATCACCGTCCTAGACCCTCTGATCCAAGAGGCAATTCTGCCAAGTCTTCGTGGAGAGCGCTGACGGAGTTCTGGAGTCCTCGGCCCGCCGTTTCGGAGTAGGGCTTTCAAGTAGCTTAAGGGGGATTACGGGATTTGGGGGCTTCGGGTCCGCCATGTCGCAGTCAAGTCTCGGATGGGTTCGGGGGGTTGGTGCGCAGGGCTAAACCGATCAGAACGTTCATGGTACGTGTTTACCAGAAACTTTTGGATACAACGTAGTAGAAATCAAAGAGCAGGAGCAAACATAAAGCACAGCGCATGATGTAAACCGAAAGATGATATGCGATTGCAACCCAATGAGACCCCAAAAGCCTAACACGCCCAAAACCCAACACCCGAAGCCCGAAACTTTTAACCCTCAGAATCCCTAAACTCTAAAACCCCAAACCCCAAACTCTAAACCCCAAAGCGCGAACCCCAAATACTTCAAACCACAAATACTTCAAACCCCAAAGCCCTGAACCTCCGAGCTCCCCGGAGGTTGTCAGCCCAGTTGCTTCCCAGGTGGCCTCGGGTGGCTTAGGCTCCGGGAGATGTGGGCGTTTAAGGTTTAGGGCTTTTAAGGTTAGGCCAGGTTAGGTGTATATGTTGCTGTGCATGCATATGTATGTATGTATGTATGTATGTATGTATGTATGTATGTATGTATGTATGTATGTATGTATGTATGTATGTATGTATGTATGTATGTATGTATGTATGTAGATATACACATATATATATATATATCCTCATATATATATATACGTATATATATATATATATACATATATATATATATATATACCCTGGGCCGCCAGGCGGATGACGGTGTGGACATCCACTCCCTGCGCCACGCCCCTGGCAACGCCAGGGCTGAGGATACAACGGCTGGGGCCGCAGGACTTAAGGTCTCAATATTACGGTTTTGGGGTGTTAAGGCTTAGGGTTTATGTGTTTTTATGTGGGCCGCTAGGAAAAGTAGCATGTTGGCAACCTGTTGGCCACTTTCCAGAAACCACCCTGACATATCCACCTCGCGAACAACATGGTGCCAGGAGGAGCCCATGATTTTAAGACCAACCCCCTCCTCCCCTCCCCCATATCGAGGGGGTGTTACGTTATCAGAGTGTTCATGCTTTGGTGCGGGCACAACAAGTTTTCGGGCTTCAACATGAAGTTCTTTAGGTTTCGGGTTTCTGCGGCCCCCTTAACTCCCTGTCCTCTTTTGGGGTTGACGCTTTAGGGTTTAGGTCTTAATCACGTCTCACGGTCCCTTTTTCGGCCACCCTGAAGAAAAGGCCCTGCATGAATGGACCCGGAGGTTGGGTTGAAGGGCATTGAAGGGTTTAAGAGTTCTGGCGTCGGAACTCCCGGTTGTCGACCCTGAGCCCGAAGCCCTGAACCCTCAACCCGAAGCCCCAAACCCTAAACCCTTAACCCTCAGCCCTAAACCCTAAACCTTAAACCCTAAAGCTAAACCCCAAGCCGTCCCTCCGCCCCGCACCTGTAGCGCATGCATCCCTCCAAGAACTCCTCGTAGCCTGGGTGGGGAGGGCTCCAGGTTCATGGCATCCTCAACCCTAAACCCTAAACCCCAAACCCAAACCCTAAACCGTTTAAGTTTCGGGTTCGGTGCCTCAGGGGTTCGACGCCAAAAAGCTTCCAAACCCCAAGGACCCAGAGCTACAAAGAGGCCCTCAACCCTGCTCCCAGTGCTCTCAGTGCTCACTGCTCAGTCCCCCACTGACTTCCCCGGAATCGTCGACATCCTCAGCGCCGAGCTCAGGGTGTAGGGCTTAGGCTGAGGGTCTGGGGCCTTGGTGTTCAGTGTCTAGTTTAGGGGCTTGGGGGGGGTCCTCAGCTGACAAAAGCACCTGGGGGGGCGGTTGGTCGAGGTTAGGGGCCCCTGTTTCACAGCACGCGCCTCTAAGGTGCCCTACGCCACATCAGCCGGGTCGGGGTCTACGCTGACCGTGACTTTGCAAAAACCCTAAACCCATCCTAAACCCTACTCTGCCACTGGGCCGCCAAGAGCTCCATGAACCGGTGCTTGTCATAGACGTCGAAGCCCAAAGTCCGAAAGAAGGCCTCCATTGTGGCCTCAGAGGGGGTTTCGAGAGGAGCCTTAAAGTTCGAGCCCGAGCAGGAGGGGCGTTAGGCTTTGAGCACGGTTTGGGCTGGGCAAGTTGGCAATGCAGCTCCGACAGGAAACCTTCTGAGACTGTCCAACCTCCCGTGGTGGGCACATGCAGGGTTCAAAGCTTCTAGCAGGGGGCGCTGTCAGGGTTTTAGGGGTTTGGCGTGTGGCTCCTTGAAAGCCATGGCGCGTCATCCAGGAAGAAGCCCAACTCATCCAAGGAGATCTCCCCGTTGTGGTTGACGTCCACAGCTTCTTGGATTGGAAACCGAAGTACGCTACGGCTGCGACAGCAATGACCCAAAAAAAAGCTGCCCTAAACCGTCGATCCTAGAAATCTGACCCCGATCAACCCTTAAGACCCAGAAGCCCAGAAACCCTAAAGCTCAAACACCCCAAGCTCGTGAGCTTTCAGTAGGGAATTAAGGAATCATAAGGCGCCATGTCTTGCGGCAGCCCGGCATGCCCCCCCCCCCCCCCACACCCCAACCCTGATCCCCCAAGCCCCCCTGCACAGGTGGTCTTCATCCCCCTTTCAGGGTGTAGGGGTTAGGGACTCAGGGCAGCAAGTTCCCAAAGTCCCGATTTTTCGACTTCAAGGTCCCTAAAAGAGCCCTGAACCCCCAAAGAGGCCAATGTCCATCCCGGGATCTGAAGAAGGCTTGGATCAGGGAGATGCACCTCGGCTCCCAAGCCCAAAAGGGTCTCAAGCTTCAGGGCTTGATTTAGGAGCCTGGGGCTTTATGGAGTCTAAGGCTTGAGGGTTTGAAGGTCTGGGGCCTAAGGGTCCGAGGGCTTTTGGGTTAGGAGCCTATGTCAGGGCTGGGGCTTTAGTGTGTCATGCCATCTGTGGATCTATTGAGGTTCGGAACGTTGGCACGCAGGGCTGACGCCGTGTAGGGTTTGGAGGTTTGGGTTTTGGGTTTGGGTTTGGGTTTAGGGCTCAGGTTTAGGAGCTTCGTGGGGCACTTCTTTCAGAGTGATCGGGCTCTGGATAAGGATTTTAAGGGTTTGGCACTTTAGGGTTATATAGCAGGAGGTTGGGCTTTAGCATCCAACCATGCAGAGCGTCTCTTCCTTCTTGTCCACCTCCTGCAAACGGAACCGAGAGTGTCACGTACGGAGTAAAGAGGCTCGAAGGTTGAAAGAGCCCCGAAACCCAGATCGAAGGAACTCAGAGGCTTTGTGAGAACCGAGGCTTTAGAGATCCACAAGCCCACGCCTGACCAGAAACGTTTTAGAAAAAGTCGGAGCCCGGTTCGCGGTCCTTCTGAATGATGTCGGAATGCTGCTTGTCGGCAGAGCGGAAGGCGTTGTCCACGAAGACGCCTCTCCGAAAACTCAGAAACACCTCCAACCGAAGAGGTACACGCGCTTCCGTTTTGCTGATGTGGCTTTGGGCATGCGGGCTTGCTGGGGAAAATGTTTGAAGGGCCGCGTCTCCAAAGACCTGCGCGAAATCATAGCCACAGCCCCAAGTCCTGAAGAAGCCTTTCAACTCGAAGCCGTAAATCCTACACCCTCAACCCTAACCCTAAACCCCAGCCACCTTTGGGGAATACGGCTGAGGGCCTAGGGCTTAGGATCGCAGGAAGATTCCTACAATGCAGCAGTCGGCTACCAAGAAATCCCGAAACTCTTAGACCCTCAGTGGGGTAGTCCCCACAGCGGGAGGGTGAGGCATGTAGAGGCGTTCTAATCCAGCCCTTAACCAACGTAACTAGGAAGGCCCTTAGCTTGCAGTTCCTGTGTCGCCAAAGCTGCTTGCACAGATGAAGGTTGCAACGCCATGGACATGAGCTTACATTCTTCACAATCATTTTCAACTGCATGTCGTGTTGCTTGCAAATTCTATGCCTGGGGATTTTGAAACTGTTTTTTTGGTCTTGCGTTTTGCATTTGGCCAGCAGAATTGCGGGCTGAGGACCTGGTTGTTGTTGTGGTTCCTCATTCATAGCCTTGTCTTGACGTTTCCTCTCAGTGGCTCTGCTACCTCCTCGACTTCCTCCAATCCAAGACAATGTTGTCGAATCACTTCTCGACTCAGTGGCCGGGATCTGGGTATTGCTCCGATGGTGATGTCAGAATCATGATGCAATCCTGCTCGTCAATCCAATGTGCAGCAGTCGGCAAACTACAAAGACAGCCCGAGACTCTTAAACCCTGAAACCATAAAACACAAAAAAACCCTGAACATGGAGCCAAGTCTTTGTCAGAGACCTTGCCTGTAATGACATTGAGAACTGCCAGTAGAGTGAAAGAGATGTAGATCAGAAGCCTCGGAACAGGGTTCATAGGGTTGTGTCTAGGGTGTGGGTCGCGGTACTCCAGTGACTGACAGCTGCTCTTTGAGGAAGGGCTCTGAAGGTTCGGGAACCTGCTTTGCTTCTTTGAGGGTGGGGAACCCTTGAGCTCTCTTACTGTTATGGTGGAGGGGATGT